CACTATAATGTAATTTTACCCATCAGTTTAAAAAGACCATACAAAAATATCCAATGCATAAGGGCTTTGAGTCTTATATGTAAATGGGTCAGTGGGGACAAAAATATGCCAAGAAAATACTTACATTCAAATTTATCTTGATTGGCAGAAATTCAAGATGCATTATTTTATTTTGTCACACTTTGTAGCCAAATAAGCACATTTACATTCAAAGATCATCTTCGAAGCTGCATTGATCTCCATTTTTTCATCCATTTCATCTGCATTGATCCATTTAGGAGGTTTGTCTCCTCGAAAGAGAGTCAAGGCCCAAGGGAGTTGTGTTGCTTGGAGATGAATTCTGATTCAAAGTATATTTATGTAGCAATGTTGTGTGACAAAATAAAATGTTGTCCTTTGAGTTTTTGCCAACTAGGACAAAACTTGAAGACTTGTATTTCCACCAAGTAGGTGAAACCGCACAATAATATGATGCTTATGGATGTTTTTGTCTGTGGCTTGGACCTCTCTTACTTATTGGACAATGGGCGTTCGGTCTCCCTCATGTATTGAGATTTTTGTGCTATTTTTTAGAGTTCATGATGGCAACCATATTCCTCAATTGGCTTTTTTTTTTTGTTTAACAAGAAAAAGAACTCTTACAGGTCGCTCTTCTCTGAAGCAATATTGCAGTAAGTCGATCTCTGAGGAAAAATCACCCACGACCATGGCTTCAAAGAAGAAGATCGAGAGATCCTTGCAGGAGAAGAAGTCGCCTAATCCATACGGCTTTTCTTCCTTTCCCTCATTCTTCTTTGTGCATGTTATAGAATGGCGCTGCTTGCAGATTTCATGGTGGAAATCGGTAAAGGTGAAGTCTTTGCCACCATTGTGGTATTTGAGCCGGATCAAGTTTTAAAGTCTCTTCACCACCTTACTCATTCTTTTTTTTAGCCTGATCCTTACTCATCATTCATTATCAGTTTTGTCATTGTGGTCTGATTCATTCTTACATCTGCTTTTGAGAGCGCATTATGAGTGCTATTAATGGGCAAAGCACAGTGGGATTGAGATTGATGAATGATAATATGTTGAGGCGACTTGAGTTAAAATTAAAAATTTATTGTTGGACCATGAATTGTTTGATTGTGCATAACATTGATAATTAGCTAGGAATATTCTGTGTTTCCCGTATCTATGTGGGTTTTGGAGTAACTCTGAACCACTTGATTGTTTACCACATAAAGGGAAAGCAGAAGGAGGTAAATTGTGATTGGATAACACTATTTCCTTATCATAGTTTCTCATTTCATAAAATGGCATGCATGGGAATGTGTTGAAGACACATTAACATGGCAACTTCATTTATTTATTATTTTTTAGATGGCCTTAGAATTTTTTCTCTTACTATATATGTTCTGGTCTTTTGTATTCATTAATTAGGAGGAGTTACAATATAATGAGTGAGATTGAGCATATGGAATGGAATCCCATTGTTTCATCTTGGGAAGCATGGGATACGAGATTTGACCATAATGACAACACAATCTTAGGTGGATCTGTGTAACAGCTCCCTTTTAGGTAAGATTAGATGTTTCAGAAAGATTATCAAGCTAATGAAAATAATCTTGTGGTGTATTCTTAATAGCCATCAAAATAAATACTTTCTTTCATCTACTCTTTTCCTTTTGTTATATATATATATTTTGAGGAGAAATCAAACCTGAAATTTATTGATTAGGAATGAATACACGTTGATTCACCCAAATGATAAGGTCTTGATTGAATCCATATGAAAATGAAGTATGAGATCAATCAATCCTGAGCTTGTGTCTGTCCGTTATAGTATGTCCTCATTCGATGTGCAGAGAAATTCTCCAAGGCTGATCTCTTTGTGCGCATGCGTGTGAGAGTGTGTTTATTCTCTTGCTAGCTTTTTGTGTTTTAGGATGTTTCTTGATCATCCAGAACTTTATTTACAGCTCCTTCGCTTCAGAGCTAAAGCATATAACGAGCATGAGAAGTCTACTTGGTTGTGATATTAACTGCTTATGATTATCATACTACCACGAGTATAAATAGGGAGATAACTAGATGTCATATTGTGTGATATGGAGTAATACTACTTCTAAATGCCGAAACCATATAGCAGACTACCTCTATAGATCTGAGTTTGATATTTTAATTATAATAGGAAAATAATAGAGGAGGGGAGCAAGTTTTACGGATCAATTGCTTCCTATTTTAATTTATGTGTAATTTTCTTTCATTTGATCTAGTAGACATCTTATGATTAGGAGCAGAGGGAGTATTTAGGAGAATAAGCTTACATTTTCACTTTTTAAAACTTATAATTCTTGATTCTTTAATTGCCATCATTGTTTATATCTAAAAATTTTGCTTTATTTTGTTGTTAGATACCCTATTAAAGTTTCTTATACCTTTCTCATATCATTTTGAAACTCTTATGTCAAGGTTGATTTGGACAGATTGAATTCTTCTAATCCCTTAGCTGTATGCTCCTTTTTGTTCTATTCATGTATCTTTTAATAGTGGCAATATGATGCAGTTTTAAATAATTAGAGATGATCTAAGCTTTTTAATCTGAAATTGAACGACATATGTTCTGCAATTTACTGTATATTAACTTCACAAGTTGCTTATTGGAGGGAGTTAGAGTAACTGTGCCTTCCATTCCCCAAGTTTTTGGCATTTTTCAGGTCCTCTCACCATTTCCTGTTCAATACTATGAAAATACTTAATTTGTTGTAGAGACCTCTATGCTTCCTTTGTCTTAGATCTCTTGATTCTTTAGAGTGGGCCCATTGTCCCTTTCTCTGCCCACTCTTATGTGCTTTTGGCCAGAATAAACGTATATTTCTAGAGGGAGGAGGCAGAAGATCAAGTCACAAATATGAGAAATTGTTTTTAGTTCTCTTGCTTTAAAGGTTATGTAATTTTGGCGGCATGATATCAAGGCTATGTTATCCCCATTTGAGGTATTTACTTCTCTTATTCATTCAGCATCATATATTGAAGTAATGTTCTTTCTAACTTATGCAGTTGTGCATTGTGCATATAGATAATGTTGAATCTTTTATTCGGGCAGGGCAATAGCCTAACATATTTGATTTGAGTGCATAATTCATAGATTGATTGAAATTAGAAAATTTGTGGTGAATGTGATGTTTATGGTCTAGAGCTCATTATAAGTGAGCATGAATTGTATTTATGAGTTAATTTATTGACATGGATATGATTCTCAGTCTTCAACCTCTCCTATTTATAAATCTTTTAAATGATTTGATCGTAAGTATCCAGTAAAAATAATTTCGTAATATATCATTGCTTCCCTTCTTTCACCTAGTCAAAGCAGCTAACACAAATATAAGTCATACAATTTAAAGGAAGCAGATGTCAAGAATAGTTGAAAAGAAGAAAAGAAGAAATCTTATGTACACCAGGTAATGGGTCCTTCACTAGGCAAGCATCAAAACTCAAGATGTACTTAGGCCTTGAGACTCTCCAACCTATTATTTATTTATGCTAGCTTTTAGAAATTGGTGGCTATCAATTGATTGTTTCATTAGGAGTAGTGCAAGGGGCTGGCCACCAGAAGAGTGGGCTGGAATAACTAGGATAAGGCCTACTTGGTGCTTAAAAGACCCTAGGAGAGCCATCTAAAGTGGGCACCAAGGAGTGGGAAGGAATAATTTGGGAAAAGTCTCGTGCCCAAAAAGGTCCCAGACCGATGTGCTAAAATCACCCTGAACAGGTTTCCATGTATTCTGGCTTTCAAAGATTGGTCTTTTTTGATGGGCTTTCTTGTTGGCTCTAGATGGTAGTGTAACAGAAAAGGAGCAAATAATAACATGTGGAAAGTAATTACATATGAGTTTTTAAAACAGTTTTAATATATCACTAGTTAAAGTGCCTTACAATGAGTATATATTACAATGTCAAAGAATGCATTAAAAATGTCCATAATGATTGGTTCTACAAGAAATTGAATTTGTTGATTCAATGAATTTTGTAGATGCATTTGAGGCAACTAGAATCCAAGTATGGTAGGCTACTGTGATGCATGATTTATGCTGTTTAGCTTCCAATAGTGTCTAGGTGTGAGTTTTGTGATATCGTGGTTCTCTTTTTGTGTAACGGTAGAATAAGTATTTGGCACACTAGCATATGCTATTGCGAGGTTGATTTTGTGAGCGGCTTTTAATTAATTGAGAATTAAGCCTTTCACATCATACTACGATAGGAAGCAGCAGGACTTCAAAAACAAAAGTCTTATGCTGTATTATATACGTGTTTGATGCCCATGACAAATGAAACAAATAACTAGAAATTTCACTCAAACATGACATATGCTTTTATGTCGCTGCTTTTGTATTGCGTTCTGTATTATATACATTTCAGAATGTATTTATGCTTGTTGGATGGTTAGTAAAACTATAATTGTATTAAGTTTTTTGTTTTGGTGAAAAGTATTTTCACAAAGTGAAAAAGGAGATTCTTTTAATACGACCAGATGCTACCCTAAAATTGGATTGAGAAGAATAGAAAAGGAAAAATAATAAAAGTGAATGTAGTCACTGATTTTTCTTTGTCAAGTAATTTTAGTAAAAGGAAAGTAACTACAAAAAGAAAAAAAAATTCTTATTCAGAATATTTTTTTCCCTTTTACTTCTGTTAATATGGAAGAATTTTCAATTTTGCTGGTTTTTTAATTTATCTTGTTAATGAAAAAAACCTTTATTCTCTTATTTAATGTAGCATTTCCTCATTGGGCCATTGAGATTTTAAGTTTGTCCTTTTATGTAATATGGAAGGAAAAAAATCACACTTACCAACCATCCCCAGTATGTTGCAATCTGTCAACTGTTGACTGCTGACAGATGCAGAGTATGACAGTTTTGTAATCTGCCATTGTGCTATATACACTCCCTGCTCTGCATCATCACCAAGCCGGTAGAGGCACAAAAATAATGGAATGCAAGCAACTACCCCAAGATATCATGGCGAAAATCCTCTTGAAACTCCCCGTGAAAGATCTGATGCGCTGTAAAGTCTTGAACAAATGCATCTATGCTCTCATCACCAGCCATAGTTTCATCAAGAAATACTTTCAGCTCTCACAAAGCCAACCAGGTATGCTGGCCTTTCATAGCGAACATTAACAGGGTTTTCTGCAACATTGCTTTTTGATGACCTCTTACAATCTATAATTGATCTGGAGCTTCAGTGGCTCTCGGACAAAATCCTGGGTGAAATCATACCTTATGGTCCTTCCAATGGTATTTTCTGTCTTCATCATACTTACTTTGACTGCACATATGAGTTATGCTTGTGGAATCCAGCAACGAGGGAGGTCAAGGTCCTTCCTTCACCTCACCATCAAGTTTCCGAGAAAGATGACCTTGTCATACTTGGCTTTGGTGTTGTTCCTGGGACAAATGACTATAAGGTTGTTAGAATTTTGACTTCGATGGACTTTGACATGGAAGACTGCAAGCCCTTTACAGTTGAGGTGTATAATCTTAGTACCAATTCATGGAGAATGATCAATGTGATTGAGTCTGTTTATAGTTTAATCTCTCCAGAATTTTGCTCCTATCTAAAAGTGGTTTATCAATGGTTGACCCTTGGTCTCTTTGATGAAGCCATTATTTGCTTTGACATGAGTGATGATGCATTTTGGAAAATGAAGTTGCCAAAAGATGATACTGACAATTCAGCTCATCAACTTATAGAGTGTAATGTTGCTGTCATCAATGACTCTATTGCTTATGTTAAGGAATATAATTTGAATTACGCAATGGATATTCAGATTGAGATTTGGGTTATGGACGAGTATGGGGTTGAAGCCTCTTGGAACAAAAGATACGTAATTGGACTAGGGCTGGGAGATTGGATGTTCTTGGGATTTTAGAAAGAAGATGAGATTCTTGTGGGAGAAGATGATCAACCTTTGATTTCATACAACCCTAAAGCTCGTCAGTAAGTCCAGGAATTTCCAATTCATGTTACGCCTGAAATGTTTCAGGCTTTCAGAAATGTGGAAAGCATTTTCCCCTTATCTGTGTTAGAGGACAAGTAAGCTTCAGAGTATGTTTGGATTAAGGAGAATGGATATAGAAGAGAAGGAAAGGTTTGATCTGGGTCTAAATCTAGGAAAAAGATCAAAACCAAGCTTTCTCTTTTGTTCCATTCTCCTCAATTCAAGCATACCTTAAACTAGACCTGACTGGATCTGGGCTTTGAAAATTATTTTGTCATAAAATTTGATAACTTCTTATGTTGCAGATTTGGTTTCTTTGAAAATGGTTGAAATTCAAAGCCTCGATTGAACTCATAGTCAGGTATAGTTTGATTTAGGTTATGATCATCATTAATGTAGAGTCAGACCAGCAGTTGAACTTATGTTTTCTCAGACAAACTTTCTCAGTTCATGTGTCCATCTTATGTTTAATGTATGGATGATGTTTTCTTATCAATGCAATGAAATAATTCTCGGTTTTGATATTATTTGCTTAGAGATGAAGTGTTTAGCATTCCGTTCTTTTTCATATTTATCAATATTGTTATTGTCTCTAAGAGAGTATCGTGTTGTAAAATTTGAGAAAACTCAAGGTTATGAGTAAGCTTGTGAAAGTATAGTCCAACTCCAAATAAGTGGAGTTCACTTATGATTCAGCAGCCTATCTGTGCTTAGAGATCAAGATAAATAAGAGAATCATGCTCAAGCCATATGATAATTGGATTAGCAATGTAATTGATTATTAGTTCAAATGATGAAAAGAATACAAAAAGGACAGTTTTAGATATATTATCCCTGTTAGCAGAGAGGTTCTTTTTAGAATTTGAGCCCATAATCTTATCGCTGTTCTAAGGCTTTGCCCTTTCAAAAGGAGCAAACACGTTAACATTGACATCAAGATTCTCATGGGGTTTTGAATGTCTATGTGAACCTGCCATAGGTGAGGCTACTGACAAGTGGGTTTCTTCTGTATTCCCTAACTTTCTCTCTCTTAACATTATCATACATTTGCAACAGACATTCAAACTCGAATTTCCATGCAATTGCATGGAGAATGATGAATGAGTTATGCAATTGGTGGTTTCTATTAAATGGTGGATCCGTTATTGAAGATAGTTCAAGGTGCAATAGTTATAAAATTGAAATGTAAATAGAAAAATTAAAATCTTCCCAAAAGGATAGAGCTTGAATTCCATATAATTTGTCTATTAGTGAACTTAATTTCCTAGATTTTGTAGTGTGATTGTATAGAAAAATTTGTTCCCATGTCATTCCTCGTAACTTAGGTAGTTAATATAAACGATGGATACATATTATTAAGAATAATTTTGTGTATAAATATTCATGAGACGCCCCAGTTTGATGTTGATTGTTGAGGATTTAATACAATAATTATCCCTTGTTTAAATTTAAGTGGATTGAGATTTTATACTTAAAATAAAAATCAATTCTTTAATCAGTTTTTATATAGAGGACCGGAATAAAGCAAGACTTCTTTTTATGCTAAAATATAAAAAGAACACGTATAATGTCTATGCATCTCTTTTCAATAACAATAATTGTTAATACATTTTTAATTGTATATATTAATATTTTTATATATATTTATATAAAGGAACGTATATTGAGTTTTAGGAGAATCACATATTTGCTGGTCAAAAAGAAGGAGAATCAAATATTGAAGAATTCATAAATGCATTTTTTTTTGGCCCAACTATAAATGCATTTATTATATTTAAAGACTTTAATTGAATTAATGAAATCTCAATAATTGTGATTAAAAAGATAATGGGTAGACAAAAACACCCTTCACCGGCCAGCCCAACCGCCACCGGCACCTGTCAAAAATGTTCCATGCATCTGGTGATGACGTGGCAAATGGGGGGAAACGAGGGACTTAATGGAACCACCGAAGATTTATTTATCTAACCCAGCCCGCATGTCGGCCCAAATATTACGGGCTTTTTGGTCCAAACACACAAATATGAAATAGGCCCACCCAATCCACAACACCAAGAAACACATCTGGAGGCATGGCTGGTAATCTTGGCTCCTTCAATCCTGTCACGAGGATTACCATACGTGAACAAAATGCTTCTCTAATGTTATTTATGAAGTATTTTTAATATATTTTATCAGAATTAATGAGAAATATTAATACAAATTTTAGTCCTTCAAATTTAGGTAAATTTTGGCATTAGTCTCTGAAATTTCAAATGCATGATATTGGCCTCTAAAATTTTGACTGTTACAAAATGTTAGTCTCTAGTGCCTTCACACTATTAACTTCGTCTGGAATGACATTAACACCGTTAACTTGATGAGGTGGACACATAAGTTGGTGCATACATGGATCTTATGTTGGCCAAAAAAAAAACAAAAAAAGAAAGAAAAGCAAATGAATGGGTTTAAAAAACGCATTGCAACAAGTGTCCCGTTGCTGGCAAATCTTTTAGACCAGGAGAACTTATATGTCACATTATTAACTTTTTCATGTGAATGGAGATTGAAATTTTATAATATAGTCAGTCTCTAATTAAAAATGTCAAGGCATATTTGATTTTATGTTGTAAATTAAAATATGTTTCCATCATAACATGATTTTACTTCGAATCCAACCTACTCTTAGTCGGCAAGTCAATCTAATTCTTGTCATAAAAAAAAAACAATTAATCTAAGAAAAAGTTCGGCAAGAAGGGAATGTTTTAGGAAGAATTACAATCAAGTCTCACAGAAAAGAAATAATTACTAAAAAATTCTAATAACAATCTGAACAGTCTGAAATGATATGTCCTACAGTGAAAAATAACAACTTCTGAGACTTGTTTCGTAATTTTTTTTCCTTTCATAAGATTTGATTGTAATTCTCCCAATATTTTATCATCTTCAATATCCTTTTATTGGCATCATTTCATGGTGCGTCTCATTTATTTTATTTTATTTGTTTAATATGCACAGGTCCTATTTGGTACGCAGGTGTAATTTTTAATTAGCAAGCAATTTCTCGTATTAACTATTTTTATAGGTTTTTCTAAAATAAATTCTAAACCAAACCCCTTTAGTGCTTCTTACCAAACACAATTGTTGAGTTGGAGAGGGGGGAATCCGATTCTTAATATAAAAACTTATTTGATTTTTATTTTGATACTAAATATAAGATCCCAATTTATTTTGTCTCTTATATTTATTTGTTTTTTCTTAAGGTGGTTTTTATAATAATAATAATTTTAACCAATACACTTGATTAGCAAAGATATTTTAGAAAAAATAATATTTATTTATCATAAATAACTAATTTAATTATTTTTTTAATCTATTTAAATTAATTAATTAATTCTTATATTAAAGGCTAAAAGTATAATTAAACACTGTCTTGGGTTGTCTTGGATACATGAAACTTTTGCGGCTGTTTCTTCCAAAGGACACGAAATGTTCTGCCAACAAGATACTCTATTTTTCAGGGTATGTTTGGCTCAATGAGAGGAAAGGGAGGGGAGGGATTTTAATATTATCTTGTTTGGATTTATAAAAAAAGAGGGGAGGGAAAATATTTTAATATGGACAATTTTACTCTTATTTTATTTAAGATATGGGCATAATGGTTACAACATGGCAAAATATGAACATAATGGTCACAACATGACAAAATATGGGTATAATGGTCACAACACAACAAAATATTGCCCTTTCCCTCCAAATCCTCCCAATTTTAGAATTTTCCCTCCCCTCCTAAAATTTATGTGTTGTCAAATAAGAAAAAATGATTAAAATCCCTCTTCCTCCCTCCCAAATCCCTCATACCAAACACACCCTTAGGCTCATTGTGTTTTCCAGCGGTAAAATGTCACCAAATAGAAAGACATAACTCATTCGCCATATGAGCATGTACATTGATATGCCACTATCAATAAAATACATTCTCAGTTTTTGAGGCATTTCAAAGCTGCCAAAATCATTTTCTTCCATTTCTTGATTATTGATTTTTACTACCTCCAGTTTTTAATATAAGATCTTATTTAACTTTAATTTTGATCATAAATATAAGACCCCAATCCACTTTGTTTTTAATATTTATGTATTTTTTTTCTAAGATAGTCCTTCTAATAATGATAGTTCTAGTCAATATACTTGATTAGTAAAGATATTTTAGGAAAGACTACACCTATTTATTACAAATAACTAACTCAACTTCTTTTTTTAATCTCCTCAAATTAGTCAACTAGCTCTTATAATTAAGACCGGAGGTAGTATTTTATATATATTGCCGGGATTGATTAGTAGCATATAGTAAACTACTTCTATGAATTATTTTTTTGGTTGAATCTTCTTATTTTGTCAACTTCTACATTTCTGTACTTTTATTCTCATCAAATTGGTCATGAATCCATAACGAATAAAATTAGTTTAAATAGTTTGCGTGTGAGTTTAGATTAACTATAAAAATCATCTTATAATTGAAATAATCCAGTGTGCGATAATCAAGTTTAAATGACTTTGTTTGGTGACGTTTTTAAAGTTATTATGAATTTGAGATGTGATAATCACCATCCTTTTATAAACGTGATTGATAACACTAGATTACTAAGAAATAAGTAATTATTCCCGATAATGTAGATAAGTTTTTTTCACTTCACTTGCTCGAAATATGATAATAACCATCCCTTTATAGACCTGATTCATAACACTCGATTATTCTTCATTGGTAGGTCTCTAAAGCCCACGCTCCTAGGAAAGAATTAATTATTGCCCATAATTTGGACAAGTCTTCCCACTTCATATAGAGCAAATTTTGTATCCTTCACACCTTTTACCCATTAGGCATAAGATGGACCTTTTTTCCTTCTCAGTTTTATTGTTGGAAGTAATCTTATTTGAAATAACTGTTAGATGCTAAAAGTGTGTATTTCTCTTAGCAAAAATTTAAACTTCAATTTACCATGTTATAAGGGACTAACTCCTTTCACTAAATTCAATACCCATTAGTATATGAGATGAATTTTGATGAACCTAGACTTTATATGTTGTGGTGGGCCTCTTCAAGTTTTTAATGACATAAGTTATTTTTGACGAAAAAAGATCATGTTTGTACCCAAAAAAACCAACTCTGTGATAGACGATCAACTTAAGATTTCTATGGAAAATGTGGGAAAGTACAATTGGATAAGCTTTGAAAAAACAGAAATGCCAACACCAAATAAATTGATAAAGTCGGTCCATACAAGAATAATTTCCAATTCATATGATAAACTATTACATTTATTTCAGCATGAATCTCCTACATCCACAAAACAAATGCATACAATGCATTGGAAAAAAAAAGACAGGAACAATAAAGGGAAGAGTGCAAAAATAAGATATAAATCTTATATAACATTCTTCCTTTTATATGGTTTCCTTTTCTCTCCACATGAATGAACGTAGAAGATTCAACTTATGATGTTCTCAAGACTTCAAAGAAACCAAGCTTTCCAAATAATCAAACACTTTGAACAGTTTTGGAACTCCATGGATTTCGAGCCTCTGTATCTTCTGATTCTTAATATTATATGAAACCAAATGACCTTCATTTTCAACAAGAATCTCATCATCTCCCCAAAATCCTAAAAATGATCCAAATTCTGGGTTTGGTCCAATAACAAATTTCTTACTCCAGCTACTCTCAACACCATACTCATTCATCACCCAGATTTCATATCTACAATTGGTCATCTTATATGTAGCAGCACAAGCAAGTTTCTCATCAACCACAGCAACATTTGATTCATAAGATTGATCAATTTCAGGAGGCAACTGAATCTTCCCAAACACCTCGTTGCCGAAATCAAAGAACAAAATGGCCTTATCATTATTATCTTCAGTTAGCCAGTGATAAAACCCATTCAGATAAGCCCTGCATCTTGGATAACACAATCGAAAAGCAGGGACAACAGAATCTATGGTTCTCCAAGAACCAGTACTGAGATTATACACCTCAACTGGAGGTTGTTCTCTTCCTTCAAAAGCCAGGTTCCCAAATCGAACAACCTTGTAATCGTTTGTAATAGGATCAATTCCAAACCCATATATGATATAAACCATGTCTCTGGGTTGGTTCTGAGATGCAGGAAGAACTTTCACCTCTTTTGTTCCAGGATTCCACAGAATCAAGCTGGCCTCACCAGCTTTGTCTCCTCCATAGACCCCATAGAGACAGAAAATCCCATTACATTGACCATAAACAAATATGTATTCCACATCCTTCTCAGGAAACGGCACTTCTATATCGATGGGTTCCAGGTCGGAAATTAGAGAAATGCAAGGCTTCAGAGAGGCATTGTGCAATCGAAATATCAGCTGGTGGCGGCGGTTTTTGGTGATTGAATCAGACCATTCAAATTGTCTAGTTATAAAAGATGGATTAGTGATTTGTGCGTACCAGGATTTCGCCACGGATTTGCATCGAAGTAGGGATTTCACAGGAAGCCTCATCGATATCTCCTCCACAATTTCTTCAGGAAGATCGGCGCTCAACATTTTTCTTTCCTCTGAACTTGCCTCGATTTGTTAGGTTTCCCTGAGGCAGTTCTTCTTCTTCTTAATTCACCTCACCGAAACACCGAAGCAGAAGAGTGTGGAGACGCATTTATAGATATATATCCAGAACCGAACAAGGAGAGTAAGAATCGAATCATTCTTTTTCCATGATGAATCAAATCCAGAAATTCAGGGAATGAGAATACATATAATAGTTTTCCAATACGGTACTTTTCTAACAAGAAAAAGCTTCCGTATTTTTTTTGGTTAACATACCTTCAGCACTCTAAATTTTTTTTTGATATATTTAGTACTTAAAATATTTATTTTGTGATACATCCAGTACTCTGAAATATTTTTTAAGTATATACAGTATTTTAATTTTTTTTTCCTTAGTGTTGGATGTATCAAAAAATATATTAGGGTATTGAACCCCTCTAAAAAAATAATTTAAGATGTTGAATACATTAAAAAATATTTCAAAATATCGAACGTTCTTAAAAAAATATTTTAAGATATTGAGTATACCGAAAAAACTGAATGTAGCTTAATCTCCTTTTTTGAAGAGTATACCAATAATTTTAACTTTTTTATACGGTACTTTAATTTAATCACTTAACTTTAAAAATCTTTTCAAATGTTAACATATCAATTTTAAATTTTAAAATAGTAATAATTGTTAAAAGAGATTTGAATTTGTGTTTGTCATGTTATCAGGATTAGCCTATTTTATTATATAAACTTAAATGATGAAATATATATTTTGGCCCTTTTTTTTAAAAAAAAATCTAACAATTAATTTCAATTTTATCCAAAATTTTTTGAAACCGTCATTCTATTTTTTCGATGAAACACGTGAATACTGAATAATTCTTTTGCCGGAAATTGATGATTAAATTAGAAAAAAATTAAATTAATTTCAATATCAATCAATATTAATATGTGTGTCTATATACAATTTATTTTTTAAATATTTATTACTAATTCTATTTCGCTATATCCTTGATTCCTACCAATTATCAACCTTGATATTTTTTAATGTTTATCTTTTCTATTCTATCTTTATATAAAAGGAAGATAATTCATCCCATTTATTGGTGTTCTAAAGGCCATAACAAGCAACTATTTTATTAGCATACTATTGACAGAAAAGGGGAAAAAATCAAAATCCTATCTGACAGAACATATCTATTCCTCTTATCATACATATAAAACTATTTTATAGCGTAATTACTTTTAAAATCAAGTTTAAAATCTTAAAATTCATTCATGTTAATGAGTTTGCATTATCTTTTATTTTTCCCAGCACATCATTTATATTAGGAAAAATGATAATAAATTATCTATTAAAATTTAAAATGATAAATAGGTGATGGTGATTATTCTTATAATGTATTGTTGTATTGATTATTTTTATAAAGATTTTGACATGTTAAAATCACATATTTATTATTTTAAAGTTTAATCAGTATTTTTTAGTCACTTCTCTTTTATATTACAATTGACATTTATATTTTTTTTTTGAAGAAAAAAGTGGAACCATTCAAATGATTTCACTTTTGAGGCTGTCTCTACAGCAAAACCTTCTCCACGGTCCTTTCATTTCAAAATACTTCCCTCCCCAGCTTATGTTGACATAACGGCATAACGAGGAATAAATAAAAAATAAAAAAATAACAAATAAAGACCCTCAAAAATATAAAAAGTAATATGGAATCTTAAATTCAAAAAATTACTGTTAAGAACAGAGTCTTAAATATGAATTAACAAATATTACTTAAAAAACCAAATTGTCCTTCTATTTAAACTTGTTATTTCTAACCGCAAACTTGTTATCTGTAATAGTTCACTTGTAATATGTGTTTTCAATTTCTAATATAATAGTATGTAGATTCATTTCATGCCAATGTCAATATGATATTTCTAAAAAAAATGACAAAAAATATCAGTTAAATTTTAAAATGATATTTTTAATTTTCTTTATTATTCCGAGAGTATTACACCATTTGTATGCCCTGTCTATTAAGAGTTAAAAAAAGAAAGGGGAAGGAAAAGAAGAGAAAAGACAGATTATTCATTAAGAAAATCAATTACAATAACGTTGGCCTTAAGAATGTGTGATGTATAAAATTACAAATTATGCATCCTAATAGGGTCACATATAATAATCAATGTCTAAAAAATTATAAATAGATTAGAAATCAATTTGTGCTTATATTATAGATCTAGAAATATGATTATTATTTTGCTAAAGAACATTTAGTCTAGTGGCAAAAGATGTGCCCTTAGTGGCACTAGATTTGGGGTTTGATAATTAGCTATTAATCAGCTTTTATGCTCGCCATCCAAATCCACAAAAGAAGAAATATGATTATGTTTTCCATGACATATTACAGAGGAAAGTCATTTTGAAATTCAACGGGTATTAAAAAAATGATTACTTTTTCAATGACATCTTATGAGGGAAAGTCATTTTAAAACTCAACATGTATTTTTATTTTTGTTATTTCTTTTGTTAGTTGTCATCACTTGCATTTTCACTAGACTACTCTCATACTGATATATGAGATATTAGATTATGACCTTGAAAGAGATTATCAGTGTTTGTCAATACCGCAATATCATTATTAAACAATGAAAATAAGATACTAAATCATTGGAAGCATAATCCAAATCAGGGCAATAACTAAGTGTTGTTAGCAAATAAAAAGTGATATGCTGGAGTTCAAAACATAACCGGATTTAAGCTCCTTTTTCATCTGCAACGCTTCATTTCCCATCGCTTGCACCCTCAGCTTGGCTACTATTAGAATGTCTAGAGATGGCCGATGTTGCCAGGCTAGAGGAGGTTTCATCATTCACCAAAACTTCTTCATTAGGATATAAAGAAGGTTTTGGAGGCATTTCAAGGCTTTTGGCATCATCTGCTTCTAGCATTTTTATTACTTTATTCATTGAAGGGCGATCTGCTGGCTTTAGTTGTATACACCATAGTGCCACTATGAACATTTTCTTTGCTAAGTTCTTTTCCTCTTCAGTCAAATCTTCCATTTCTATATCTTTTTCTTCGTCAAATTGGTCATAAATCCACAAAGGAAAGTAAAGCTGGCTTGAATATTCAACATGTGGATTCAAATTCCTCCTTTGACTAGCCATTTCCATTAAAAGCATTCCAAAGCTATAAACATCTGACTTATATGACACTCTGCCAATATTCTTATAGAACAATTCTGGAGCCATGTATCCTATGGTCCCTCTTGCTGCAGTCAAAGTGACAATACTATCATCAGACGAATATAATCGTGCGAGTCCAAAATCTGAAATCTTTGGATTGAAATTGTCATCAAGTAGAATGTTGTGAGGCTTGATATCAAAATGCAATATTTGCATGTCACAACCATGATGAAGATAAGCAATTCCATGAGCTATTCCTAAAGATATCTCGTGTAATTTTTGAAGAGTCAAAGAGATACCTTCTTTTTAGAAAAAATATATTTATCTAGTGATCCGTTGGGCATGAATTCATAAACAAGAGCACGCTTTGTTTGTTGGACACAAAACCCAACAAGGCGTACCACATTAGCATGGTGAATCCTCCCAATAGTTGCCACTTCACTGATAAATTCTTGGCCATTAGCTTTGGATTTACCCAACATTTTGATAGCAACATCATATCCACCCTTTGATTTCCCTTTGTAGACAGTGCCGAATCCTCCTTCACCTAACTTATCGTTGAAACCTTTGGTCATTGCCTTCAAATCCTTGTAGGAGTATCTTATTGGAATGAGGTTGTGAAGTCGGATAAAGTCTTCGATGTTTTCGAACATTGACATGTGCCTTCTACGGCATTCATGTATAAACAACACTGATAGGAGTATGATGCCCAATGAAAATCTGACTGTGATGGGTGGCAAAACAGCTCTTCCAATGACCATTCCTAATTTTCTTGCAACAGTTGATTGGCTGGAAATGTAGTCACTATGGTAATCACGAGTGAATCTCTTCCCCCCTATTCCTTTTAGTCCTGCATGTGTTTATTTCCATAAAGGGTCATAAAATTAGCGAGTCTCTAAAATATCACTAATTTGATAGAAATGAAAGTCAGGTGGGAAAGAAATCGCCAATATCAGATTTCCAGTAAAGCACAAGACCTTCCTGCGAGTTCCTCAATAAAAGTTTTATACTACCTCTGGTCCTTGGCATAAGACTTCATTTGACTTTTATTTTGATTCTAAATATAAGACCTCAATTCACTTTGTCTCTCATATTTATGCATGTTTTTTTCAAGGTAATCCTTCTAATAATGATAGTACTAATCATTACACTTGCTTAAAAAGGATATTTTAGAAAAGACAACACCTATTTATTATAGATAACTAACTTAATTTATTTTCTTAATCTACTCAAACTAATCAACTAGTTCCTATATTTCGGACCGGAGGTAGTAAAATTTAAACAATCTCTTTCCAATAGTGACTATATTTTTCTCATTGATCTGAGATATAATTATAAAACTCTCACATCAATTTTAGAACATAATAATATAATTTCTGAACTTTTTAATGTCGATAAATAACTACTACGATAAATAATTATTACATTATAAAGTAAATCTTGTATTATATTAATTATTTTGGTTGGCATGGGCTGGTTTAATCTATTTAGTCTGGGCCTTCTGATTGGGCTTAATTAATTATCTGTTCCACCTGAACCCACCCCCACAAAAAAAAGGGGTAATTGAATTATTTCTTTTTAACCAGACTTATGGAAAATATCAACCAAATGTAGATGCTAGAATTGCAAACAATTAGTATGAACGCCAACTCAGTTGCTACTATAATTGCATTCAACAAATTATTATAGAATTAAAAAAAATGAAATACATTAAAAAGGTCACGAGCATGACAAAGAAAGTTAGTAAAAGAGAAATATAGAATAAGTATGCTGAGAATCATAGAACGTTACCTGTTGCAATTCCATTGATGAAATCTGAAAGAAAATTTTACAAAAATCAACGACAGTAATAATACGCAGCACACGATCAAATAAGCACTGTAAAGATCTTGACCCCCAGATAAAACATAAAAAAAAACTGTAAAGATTGATGGATGAAAATATGTCTTTTTTCCTTTTAGTAAAGCTGGCAGGTTCTTTTCCACACACACAGCACCGAAAAACTTTGGGAATCACGAGATCTGCTAGCATAGACTACCATCTCTTGATCTAATTATAAGACCTTATTTATAATCTACAAATAATGTCTTATAATTAGGACTGGAGGTAGTATAATCTAAGTATTTCCAAGTGTTTGGTTTAGTCAAAGTCCCTCACAGCGTGACAAATTAAGATTCAAATTTTTATTAAGAGAGGTGTTCATATTTAATGCTTAGTAACACTTTAAATAGGGTTTCCTTTCATAAAAGGATGCTTATGCATAGCAAAAAAAAGTATTACCTCATAAAAAGTTAGATAATTAATTTAAAGATATTAAAAAAATTAGCTAAATTTGTTGTGTGTAACAAATGTGTATTGGTATTCTTATACTGTTTTATTTAATCATACACGTGACTCCTTGATGTCCCATCTTTAAAGAAAAAAAGTTATGAATTTGGAAGACAAAATGTATTGAGGTATTATATTTATGACTAAATTCAATTTTTAACTGGCTCTTATATTAAGATTATATATATACAATTCTTAACAAACGAAACAAAATAAATAAATAATTTAATGTTTTCTTTATTTTTTAGTTAAAAACCCAAATTCAATATTTATTTTTAAGACCACTAAACTTAACAAGTCATTCTATTTATAAACTAGAAACATTACAGTACGTTTTTAAATTTCATATAGAGCATGGGACCTGCATTTCCTTGGGTTTTTTTTTGTTTGCCTCAAAGGGACGGAAGCATGGGACTTACATTGGTTTCTAAATTCGGGAGCCCTAAGATTTTCACTTAAAATACCAAATTAATTAAACAAAAATAGTATGCTTTTTCAAATCTATAATAGTATAGATTCTTTAAATTAATCTTTGAAAATACACGACTTTTTGAGACAAAAAATGATAAATTTTTTGTTATCCAAAATGAAACTTTTGAGACAAAAAACCTGATAAATTTTTGTTATCCAAAATGAAACAAGATGGAGAAAAAGATGATTTTTCAGGAGACTACCATTTTAAAGAAAATATTTAATAAAGTATTTTTTTATTTAAATGGTGCAGATTTATCTTGCAAATATTGTCGCACTCGCTGATTAATAGCGCATATCGACATTTCATCCCCCCCCCCCCCCCAAAAAGGTGAAACTTGAGATAAATTGCCTTACAAATTTGAAATAAGATAAGAAATCCTTTATCCTCCATTATTTTAAAATTAAACAAAAATAATATGGAAATGGAGAAAAAGGGGTTATATATGAAGAATGCCAATGTACTGCATCTTTTAATTTTGATAATTAACATGCATGTATTCAATAATATTTAAAAGTAAAATTAAAGAGACTTATAACTTAAGTAGATAGTAAATTGAAAGATTAAATTCAATAAGAAGTTATTTGATGGAATTAAAACTAAACTATTGGTCTTGGTTTTTCAAAATAATTAAAATATTGATTGGATATTTCAAATTGTAAATTAGTCAATTTAATCTGTCACCAAATTTCTTAATTGTTTTCACCAAAAACGCTATCTAATGTTACCTTACCTTCCACAACTATGCGCAACTTTGACACCCCTGCATCATAACCAGGGAAAAAAGAACCAAGTGAATGAAAATCCATTAAAATTTAATTACATTATGTTTATCTTGACTGATTAATTCAGGCCAACAAATTGTTAAATCTGATTTCTGTTAATGGTACATCATTGATTAGGTGGGGACTAGGGAGAACATACACACATTAATTATCTAATACTACCTCGGGTTCTTAGTTTTTATAGAAAGTTAGTTGGGAGTTAAATTTGATTATAAATATAAGACTTCAATATATTTTGATAATCAATTTTCTCAAAATATCTTTGTTGATCGTAAAATTTTTTTACTAAAGGATAATTGAAATAACTTAATGTACATAATCAAAGAGGATAGTTATAAATATCAAAATACGTTTGTGACAAATAATTAAATTAACTAATTTTTTTAATATTTTCAAATTAGTTATCTAATTCTAATATTAAGGATAATATATAGTTAATTTTTTTTTATTTTTCTCAATTTAAGAACTAAAATTAAATTCATTTTTTATAATTCAGAAATAGTACAGTTAAATCTTAAACAAAATTCAAGGAAAAAAATCTTAAACAATTTTTTTAAAAAGAATAAATTGTGAACTTGAGATTTTTAGTTACAAATAATGCAATCTTTCAATTAATAAATAAAAACTTATATATTTACAAGACCTTGGATCAATTTAAAAGTATTTGTTGGTATCCTATTATTAAGTGGCTGATGTTTGAGAGTTCAACATCTACCACCAATTTGATCATTTAAGGGCAAAGCGAAGAAGATAGGATCCAATAATCTTATTGAAATAGAAACGGATACTTACGGCAATTGGAAAATATTCCGAAGGGGGTAAGGCATTCCGGAGTATGTGGCCAAGAATAAGATAGACATTGCAGACGTTTATTTTCAGGGCTGAAAGAGCAGATGGTGCCATGTGGACAATGAAGATCAGCACAGGCTCGTCGCCGCCATGAAAGCTCAAATCCATAGGAAAGCACCTTGTGAATATCAGCACACGACTTATTTCCACCAGGCACCAATGACTCCCAATCTGAGGCAATGAAAGTCACCGATATCAGACGACACTGAGGTTTAAACTGGGAAGCCAGCAAGTCTCCAGCCACAGCATAAAGATGGCCTCCTTGCCAATTCACGCACGGAGCCGTATCCACGTACGCTGCGTCGTCCCTCACTGCATCGCTGCAGTTCAGGTACCCCACCATCTCGTTTAATATAGATTCAGTTCCGTTGCTGTTTAGGGTACTAGCGATATAGGGATTCCTGCTATCTTCATAATACCCGTAAGGAGACACGAAAGAGGAGAAATCGTACATGGATAAGGGATAGAGAGGGAGGGAGGAGGTAGTACCCTCCTGAATGCCTTCATCTAAGAGTCGGATTGTGTAGTTGTCGTAGTTTATTCCCAGCACCCGGTATTTTCCATCAGGTAAACTAAGGTAAGTGACGTTGTCATCACAGACTAGCTCGTAGATCCGATCGCCGCAGTTAGGCGGGTCATCTGGTAGTCGAAATGGACGTCCGATGTTTGTGATGTTGCCGCACCGAGACGGAGCGCAGAACTCGGTGTGCTCTTGAGAATTCGTAAGTCCGTACAGTAGAAGCAGGGTAACCAACAACGGGTGCCAACACCTCAAGCCTTTCTCCCTGTCCATCATTCAGACTTCAGAATGATGTGCAGCTGCTCTACCTCTTGATTCTGAGCTTCAATCACTTACTTTCCTTCTGATTAAACGCAGCTCCATCTGCCTTTTCCATTTCCAGTTCCACGCGGCTAACTTGTAGTCACTAGTTTGGTCCAAAGTTGACTTCACTTTTTGACTAGTGACTTCTCTTTACAATTCCTTTGACCGGCTTTCTCTCTGAATATTGATGATATTTCCTTCTATCTTCCTTCGCCTGCTGTATGATTTAAGTGGGACGATATGACTAACTGTTATGTTCCTCCATTTTCCCTCAGATTAGGAAATGCAAATTCAATAATTTTTTCTGGAAATTTAAAAGAGATTGATAATTAAATTAAAAAGAAATCTCGGGTCAATCCGAAGCTGTAGCTTTCAGTAAGGAGCCCCAAAGGCCACGGCAAACAATTTGGGTCCACAATCACCTTCGAAGTTGCATCCTACTTCCCCTGCTTCCATTTTGAATGAGATATACGACGTGTCTCCTAACAATTACTCCTATTCAAATAGGTAGATAGGAATCTCAATCCAAGCTTCAGATTCAAAAGGAAATCCTTTGGTTACAATGTTTTCCCATCGCAGATTTTGGTTGTTGGTGATATTGCATGTATGGGTGCGCCTTCTGAAACAAGGGAATGGTGAGAACCACCAGCAGGTGCCTCATACTGAGACTCTTCCATTCCGTCTCAATGAAAATGGGACCATGGTTGAGTTTCCGTCTATTCCTGCTCTTGAAGGAGTCAGTTCCTTGTCGATTATATAAGCAATGAATCCCATATCCACTTAAAGTACGTGATCCAGAGGAATGTCTTCCCATGCTCTTTCTCCACGCCGTCTCTACAATTCATCAAGTATTTATCCTCTAGAGTATGATACTGACAATATGACCGAAAATATTACTTTCTTCAATTGTTCTTCGGCTGTTTCGAGATATACGCGCGAGTCCTGCCCAATTCTTGCCCTTGGCTCTGATGACAGTGTCCTGTCCGGGGACCTACTTTCCTGCATTATGATGTTTCGGTTAGATTCGCCCATACCGGCAGCGTCTTTTCGGAGGAACTCGATACCACTCAAAATTGAAAAGCATAAAACCAGCAAGATGCTCAGAATTGTTTTGCCCGGAACAGGTGAGACCTTAATAGGCTTTTCCTTTTCCATTTTTCCCCCCTAAAAAATATAATTCATTAGATTCTGGCTTGGATTGAAATAGAATGTTCATTTGCTGTGCTCGCATAACTCTAGGTTCGATTGTGCTGGTTTTGCTGTCGGTCGTGTGCGTTTACACATGTCGCTACTTCAAGAAGAAAGGAGATGATCAAGCAAGACTTGAAAAGTTTTTGAAGAATTACGAGGCACTTAAACCTACCAGATTCTCTTTCGCTGATATCAAAAGAACCACACACAGTTTCAAGGATAAATTAGGTGAAGGTTCTCACGGAACAGTCTTTAAAGGCAAGCTATCTGCTAAAATTCAAGTTGCTGTCAAAGTACTGAATAATTCAGATAATGATGGACAAGATTTCATCAACGAAATGGGGACAATGGGCCAAATTCATCACGTCAATGTTGTTCGTTTGTGGGGATTTTGTGCTGATGGTTTTCATCGAGCTCTTGTTTATGACTTTTTCCCAAAAGGCTCCCTCCAAAAGTTCATATTTTCCCAAGATAACAGAGAAAATTTCCTCGGGTGGTCGAAGCTGCAACAGATTGCTCTTGGCATCGCAAAAGGGATTGAATATCTTCACCAAGGCTGTGATTATAGAATTCTCCATTTTGATATCAATCCTCACAATGTGTTGTTAGATGACGAGTTCACCCCTAAAATTTCTGATTTTGGTCTAGCTAAATTGTGTTCTAAAAATCAAAGTATGGTGTCAATGACAATAGCAAGAGGAACTTTAGGATATATTGCACCTGAAGTCTTTTTTCCAAATTTTGGCCATGTGTCATACAAATCAGATATTTATAGTTATGGGATGCTACTCTTGGAAATGATCAGTGGAAGGAAAAATGTTGATACAAACAAAGAAACTTTTCAAGTTCTATATCCAGAATGGATTCATAATTTGATCAAAGGAGAAAACATGAGTATTTCTATAGAAGATTAGAATTGCTAAAAAACTGGCAATTGTAGGACTTTGGTGCATTCAGTGGCAATCAATAAATCGTCCATCCATGAAAACAGTGGTACAGATGTTGGAAGGAGAAGTAGATAAACTAAAGGTGCCTCCAACTCTGGTTGATTTGACTGCTTCAACCAGTACAAGTACTATTATTCCTGCAAGGCATTTGAATTTAGAGTCATGAATATGTACGTTGGGTTGCCAAGTATATATAGCTTTTACTTTTACTGAATGTATTTTGTAAAACTTTTGAATCCTTTTATTATCAATGTGCATGTAGAACACTCATCCATGTATCCCAATAGAAAGAGATCTCAGGACTTTCAAAACAAGTTAGAAGGATATGATAAATTGCCAAAAGTAAGAACAAGTTAAAAAGGCATAAAATTTGAAAATGATATCGTAAGCATATGCCTCCGAGTTTTCACAAAAAAACTGCAGTGCAACATTTCTACTGGTAGCATGGTTTTGCTTTACCACTGGGATAAGATGTGGGTTGAGCAACTTCTCTCAGATATGCTTGTTTGTGTCTACAGAAATGAACGGAGAGAAGTGGTCAATTTGTGAGTTGTTTATTATTGTTTCATACGTTTTGAATATCTCACAATTAATTTGTCTATGGGTTTGGAAAGATCGAAGTGGTTAGAGCATAAAGTGGCAGCCAATGCATTAGACCGTAGTAATTAAATATTGGTTTAATTAATTAGCTATTGAGTTGTATCGTTGGTTATTAATTTATCTCAATTAATTATTATATTTAATATTTTTTAATTTGTTTATTATATTTCTTTATTAACTATTTAAATATTATGAATTTGTGATCTGTAATTAAAAAATATTGAATTATTAATTATTAAATTAATTAGTAATTACTTTTCTTATTTACTATTTTTAATTAATAATTCTTGGTTTCGGTCATTTTTCGTTCATTCATATTAATATAAGTTGTTTATTTGATTTGTAATTATTACGAACTATAAACTGTGCTCATAAAAAGAATCTCGAGCCCCATGATCCTATCTCAAACTATAAACTGTGCTCATAAAAAGAATCTCGAGCCCCATGATCCTATCTCATCCCAAGAGCCTCCAGTAGTACTGGTAATACCTGCGAATTGGCTAATGACGGGTTATAGGTTATTCAGTGTAGGTTGAAAAGGCCCGTTTACTAACAGGTTGGCTTTCAACTAACCCTAATCGACCACCAACCAGTCAGAATTATATACCCTTTTTTCATTTTTTTTAATGTTAGCACTAAGTTATAAATAATCAAAAATTAAGACAATACAAATAATTTAAAATATTACGAACATTCAAACAAAATTACAACACATTAAAATACAAACAACTTATATGATTGTCCAAATATGATAAAACACAATTCAAACATAATTTTTTTCCAATGAAATCAACATGCAACAATGAATAACCATCTTGATCTAATTATCTCTAATAGTAATGACATTTAAAGTGGAAGCATTGTTTGAAGCTAGTTCAATGTTGACTTTGACAATAGTAGCAGCAACACCTTCCTTCTGCTCAGATTCATCTGCCACAAATAATTAAAAAAAATTAAAATAACGCAAACTATTCCTATTACATATAAATGAATAAATATAATTATATTACTAGATGGAAAATCCAAAATCCAATTACGGTTGCAGATAAGGGCTTGATTATTTTCTTAGAGAAGGAAACTTCGATACTTTGTGAAAACTCGTGAACCAATGCTAAAAGTTGATTTATTAGCCACTGTAATGATTGATATACTAAGAATATCACATGCCATCTTTTAAAGACAAGGAAATCAAGTTGAGTTAGTCCTCTGATACCCCAATACATTCAATTTACGAAACACACGAGGATTAAGTCTTGCTTCTTCCAAATAGAAATTAAGCTTAGATTTTTCTATTTTTGACAATCATTGATATGGCCACTAAGATAATCCTATATGATATAAATAAAGCATCAATAAAATGTTAATCAAATTGACATTAGTATAAGACATTTAAAAAATGGAAAATTTAAAACTTACACCAAAAGCAACAAAGAAATGGTCATTATCATCTGTATGTCCTGCAACATGAGTAGACTGGCTAGAAGATGATGTTGGTCCCAAGACATTGACATTACTACAACTTGATTCATCTCCACCTCCGATAGAAACTGAAGATGATGATCCCATACTTTTATACTCATTGGAAATATAGTATAATTTCGTCCTAATGCTTTGAATCTTGTCACTATAATTTATAAGATCAAGTTGTGTATAAGTAAACTTTATGATGTCAAACTTCATCCGGGGATCAAGAATAATTGCAAGTGCAAGTATAACATCATAATTATATTCATTCCAATACTTGTCAAACTTGTCAACCATCCTCATAGCTATATCTTTAATAACTACCATTAAACACATGTTTTCTTTACAATGATTCAATTTTTTAGATATGCATGAAATACATGTTAGAACTTGGATATGATGACCTAGAAATTAACCTCATTATTGCTACAAATAGACTCAAGAATTTGCACATCTCCTCGGCTCTAGACCACTTTTAATTTCACTTGTTGGACAAAGATGATAATGGGTGTCATTGAAATCTAAGTTGGCAAATGCAGGATGATATTTAATCACACTTTGAAGCATATGTGGAATTCCATCTAGTTCTGATAAATCATATTTTTATATACTTGGGATATATATTTTAGGCTATTTTAAGAAGTAGATTGAACTTTAATTCCATTAGTAAACAAATAAATTGTTGATGCACTTGAGTGAAAGAATTAAGCAGTTGTGATATTTTAATAATTCTTCTCATTAAATTTCACTATTGGATATTACTTCTGTCTTAATATTTTGAATTCAGGGGCAGAATTGTAATTTTGGAATGACAGAAACATTTTTCCCAGAAGAAAGGAAAAGGGAGTTCAAAGGAGATGAAATTCCATCACTAATGGAAACTAATTTCCATCACTAAAGGAAAGGGAATTCCACCGAAGGAGCTGAATTATAATTGCGGGAAAACGAAAATGAATTGAAGTAATCACTCCATGCCAGCTAAGACGGAACGGAAGAACAAAACGGAATAACAGAAAAAGAGTTCTTTACGGGGCAGAGAAGAGATATATATATATTCTGGAGACAGAAAATCGAAGAGTGGTTGTTTTTCCGGAAGTCAGCAAGTGGAAATTGAGCTCCTATTCTTCCAACTGATCGGTATCCTCTGGAGTGGAAATCACCGAACTTGAAAGCTTCCATGGAGATACTACATTCGAACATCAAAGAGGAGGCAATGACTATCATGCGTAGCTAAATCCACAAATTCTTCCAAGAGTAGAACTAAATCCGAGCTACTGGATTGAGAAGGGAGTTGTTTTCATCTATCTCTTTCAATTGCTCTGCTAGTTGTGGAGTATTTAGGAGAGAATTCAGTTGTATTCTGTTTTAGATGATTAGATGAATGCTATGTAATTGAACGCCGTAAAGACTCGGTAGTCCATTCTTGAATTAGTAGTTAATTAGATCCTTATTACAGTTCAGTGAAACTAAATATTGTGGTCTGATTAATTGATTCATTTGAATAGAAGTTCTATTTGATTAAGAATGTTGAGTCCTTTGCTCGTTCAGTACATTTAGCTCCAGATCAGATTAAGGCAATGAAGATGAAGTGAAACTCTTGGGGGAATTGATATTCTGATTGTATTTTTCTTGAGTTCCATCATACCGCTTGCATTTACATTCATTCTCATTTTAACACTGCACCTGAAAGTCAACAAAGAATTTTTCTTGTATTGATCTGAATGTGTTTCTTCTGCTATATGTTCTACAAGTAAATTGTGTTAATTTTACTTAGAAAGTGAGAGAGTTATTAGACCAAGTGATTCGACACTGAGGTTGCATCAGTATACTGCATACTCTTTCTTTATTATTTTTTATTGCCTATACGACTAAGGACAAATCAAATGGCACCGTTGCCAGCCTTTTAACTCCTGAATATTCATTGTTACTCTATTCTGTTCTAGTTTTCTATTGACAATCCCAATTTGCTGTCATTATCTTGTTTCCACCTGAATAAAATACTCTTGTATGAGCCATGACTTTGCTGAATTTTACCCCCTGGATATAGAAATTAATAGAACCTTAAGAAATCTGAAAAAAGCCAAACAGCTTCAGCCAACCATTGCTCCACCAGAAACCTCACCTGCTCCTCTTACACCTTCATCTATTGATTCAGCCAGCTCTATTCCAATGCACATATCTGATATAGAATCCTCTTTAGGACATTTTGTAGATCAACATTTTATCATGAATCCACATCTTGATTCCAATAATCCTAGGCCTAATGATCCTAATAATGCCAATCAAGAACAGGAAGCTGAAAACAGGCCTGAGCATTTAAATGTTAATCCTGAAGCTGAAAATAGAAGTATTAGGGAGTTGAATAATTCTGCTGTTGATTATGATCCGTATGGTCTGTGGAATAATTCTGTAAATTTTGAAATTAAAAGTTCTCTGCTGAATGCAATTCCTAAATTCTATGGTCATGCAGGGGATGATCCACATGAACATTTACAAGACTTGTATATGGCATGCTCTTCCTTCAAGCCACCCACCGTATCAATTGAAGAGGTGCTGAAGAAAGCATTTCATTTTTCAGTTCTGGGTGATGCTAAGGAGTGGTTAAGGTCTCTTCCCCAACATTATGCTATGCTCACATGGTCCCAATTACAAAAGTTATTTTTGGAAAGATATTTTCCAGCATCCAGAACAGCAACTTTGAAGGAGATTTATAGTGTTAGACAGAATAAAGGAGAATCTTTGTATGATTACTGGTCTAGATTTGTGGGAATGTTAACTCGCTGCCCTCACCACCAAATACCAAAACAATGGTTGATCCAATATTTTTATGAAGGCATGCTTCCACAAACAAAAGCTACAACTGATGCTGCTGCCAATGGATCTATTTTAGATCTAACACCAAC